ACATAAAATTTCATCTTTCCAGGAAATAGGGTCTAAGAACAAACCGAATAAGAAATCGCCCCGCACAGCTCAGAATGAACAACGTAAAACATGTACATTTTGCTGAAATTATTGATATAACGGTTTTAAGTACAAAGGGGGTTGGGCCGGCAGCGGGGGTTGGCGGAGACAGCGGGGCCGCGGCGGCCTCGCTGCCCCCGTTCGCGTGCGGCGCCTGCGCCCGGCGCTTCGACCACGGCCGGGAGCTGGCGGCCCATTGGGCCGCACACACCGACGTGAAGCCCTTCAAGTGCCCCCGCTGCGAGCGCGACTTCAACGCCCCGGCGCTGCTGGAGCGGCACAAGCTGACGCACGACCTGCAGGGCCCGGGCGCGCCCCCCGCGCAGGCCTGGGCCGCGGGGGCTGGTGCGGGGCCCGAGACCCCCGGCGAGGGCGGCGCCGAGGAGGCGGGGGACGCCAGGCCGGCCTGGGTCGGCGGGCTGCTCCTGGGCCGCGTGGGGGGCGGTGTGCCCGAGCTGGGGGGACTGCTCCCCGGGGCGGTGGGGAGGCGCCCCCACTGGCGGCCACGGCGGAGCCCTCAGAGGACACCCCGTACCAGTGCGACTGCGGGACCTTCTTCTCCTCGGCCACCTGGAGGCGCACTCGGGGCCGGCCACCTACGGCTGCGGCCACTGCGGGGCGCTGTACGCGGCCCTGGCGGCCCGGCGAGGGTGGCGGGGCGGAGGCGGCCGCGGCGGCCTCCGAGGGGGAGCCCGCGGCCAGCTCGGGCCACAGCAAGATCTTCGGCTGCTCCGAGTGCGAGAAGCTCTTCCGCTCCCCGCAGGACCTGGAGCGGATAAAAAAAAAACAAAACAAAAAAACAAAAAAACAAAAAACCACTGGACTAGGGAAAGGCAGCTGTGGACCTCTGTGGGCCAGTCCAGCCCAGAACCCTGTCCTGCCCCTGGAAAGCCATGGAGTTGGGAAAGGAATTCACTTTTTTTTTTTTTTTAAACAGGGCTGAAAGAATTAGGATCCCTGAACCTTGGATCACACCTCCAGATCTGCAAGAGAAAATCGATATTTTTTGCCCAAAAATGTCTGTTTCTGACGGAGAGTCTGAAGCAGTTCACAGGAGATGTGAAGCGGCCTGCGAGGGGAGGGTGCTCTGGGTCTGTTACCTGGCAGGTCCCTTTTCCAGCCCGAGAGTGGGATGCAAACTGGTTATCTTCTTTTTTCCCCTTAGAAAAAATGCAGTCAGACATGGAGAAGATCCAAGGGAAGTTTTCCACCTACTGGGCGTTGATGTGAAGTTTCCTGGGAAAATGAACACCTGCACTGAAAGTGTGGGGAAATGGGGCAGGGGCGATAGATACGCGCTGGCCAGCCAGCCGGCCTGATATTTTATACCTTCCTTTTTGCTTTAATTTTTTTCAATTATTATCCTCTTGTTTGACTTTGAAGTCTTTTAACAATATTCACGTAGTTCCCAATCTATACAGATGGAGGAGAAAAATAGGCAATCCAAAGTTAATCCAGAATTAGTGTGATTGGTTTTATTTTTATTCTTGAATTGGGAAAGAAGTGAACAGAAACGATCCACGTTTCACCTGGCCCGGTAGTTGTAATTCAGAGCCTACTGCCATGGGCCTAGCTACGGGCCAGTGCTGGGCAGCACCTCGAGGGAAGTGGTGAGGAGTGAGTCAGAGGTGGTGGTGCCTGGGCCCTGGCCCCCTGCTGCCTTGAGGATCTGCACCCACATGTGGGCATAGCTCAGAGGTATTGCAGGTTCCAGGCCCCCACAGGACAGTGGGGCACACGGGGGTTTTGGCTTCCCAGTGCATGTGGACGTTATTTTACATGGTACTGTCTATGAAATGTATAATCACATTATGTCTAAAACACAAAGCAAAACAAAACCAGTGTCTATACCTTACTTAATTTACAAATGTTTTATTGCTAAATAATGCTCACCATCGTCCAGCGGTGTGGATCAGTGGTTGAGCATCTACCTCAGGGAGTCAGTTCAAATCTCGGTCAGGGTACATGCCCAGGTTGGGGCTCAACCCCCAATGGGGGTGCAGGAGGCAGCTGATCAGTGATTCTCATCATTGATGTTTCTATCTCTCCCTCTCCCTTCCTCTATGAAATCAATAAAATATATGTATTTTTTAAAAATACCATCATCTGAGCCCTCAGGCAGTTGTAATCCTTTTGCTGGTAGAGGGTCTTACCTTCAGTTTGTAGAGAAGCCACAATATCTGCAAAGCGCAGTAAATCGAACTGTGTTTGTAATTTCCTCATCTGTAAGGAAAACAATAGTTCTTGCCTCACAAAGTTGTAAAGATTAAATTAGATCGCCATTTCTAAAACCTTTAGAATGAAGCCTGACTCATAATAAACCCTATATTTATGTTTATTAGATAAAATAAAGTGTTCTAGATATTTAAGGAAAACTTTCAAGATAAAATTTTTCCTCACATTCAGTTAGGAACTGGCTATATATGCAGGATCCCCCCCTCCCCCCCCCGCACAAAAAAAAAAGTATATACATTTTAACAGCTGATAGCTCAATTTTGAAAATGAAATGTATTTTAATAAACACTGCCTTGATAATTACTCAAAGTGTGTGTATACATTTTGGGGGACACCTATATTAAATGCCAGAATTCCTAGGCAGTCTGGTGGAATCTGAAATCCTTATATACAGGTAAACTTTTTAATTATTTATGGCAAATTACAATTCCCATAATCCGATAATTTCCTTTTATGTATGTTGAATCTTCATTTGCATTGTATCTTTTCAGATACATACTCTTGGTATCTGCCAACAGAGATTTGGGGGAAAGTTACATGTTCAAAAGCAAAACAAATGGAGAGGAATTTCACTTAACACAGTGGACACCACCAGAGCCATCAGTTCACACATGACCTTCCTCTCTGGCTTTCATTTACTTCTCTTGTCACTTGAAAGGCTTTGTGTGCACATATCTGTGTAAACACTTTGTCATCTCTAAAGTGCCTTTATTTTCTTTTTTAAAATATATTTTTATTGACTTCAGAGAAAGAGGGACAGAGAGAAACATCAATGATGAGAGAGAATCATTGATCAGCTGCCTCCTGCACACCCCACACTGGGAATCAAGCCTGAAACCTGGGCATGTGCCCTGACCGGGAATCGAACCGTAGGTTCGACGCTCAGCCGCTGAGCCACACCAGTTGGGCTAAAGTGCCTTTGAAGTGAATGGTCTCATTTGGCCCAGTTGGTCCTCGGTGTCGCTCAGGCCACGGCCCGAGAACAGCTGTGGCTCCGGGAAGCCCCAGTGTGTGTGCTGTGGGCTCCGCGTGCCCCTTGCCCACCAGGCTGCATGCTGAGGTGGGGTCCGTGATGGTGGCTCGGTTTGACCCAATAGGCTACCATGGCCTGGCACATGGGCACCTTTCACCCTAATTCCCGGCCCCTCTCCCCTGAACGCTGGATGGCAGAGTCATGTTGTATGAAAAAATCAGTGCGTGCCTGACAACAGGTTTCTCATGGAAACGCTGCTTTCAGCAGCTCTGACCAAGCCCGTCATAGTGGGTGTGTCCTGGAAGTGCTCCCAGGACTCCATAACTTCTTTCCTCTTTTGTTCTTTCAGAATTAAGAGGCCCAGTTACACCCAGGGAGGTGATGGGAGAACTTGAGGGGAGGAGTGAGAACCCTTAGGGAGGGGACCAGGATTGAATTTTAGAAATTGCTTAATTTGGGGCCCTTGAGGTTACATGTGTAAACATGGTAAACAACAACCCTTTGAAAAACCATTGCTTGTGTCTGTGTTTGCGATGCTTTTGCCTCCTACTGTGACGCGGCTGAAGCAACGGGCCTTTGGGATAGAGGGCGTCAGGCTCAGGTGCTGTGAAGGGTCAGAGCGAAACTGCGGTTCCCAAGGAGGCCCACAGGCACTTGCAGTTTGTAAAAAGCATCCATCCTTCCGAAAAGAGTGATTTGAGTCCAACTCTCAGAGTGCCCGGGAGCTTAGGGACCGAGTCACCCCATCTCTGGGCTGCCCCAGACCCTCCCCGGCACCTCATGTTCCCGGGATTGAGTGACTCTGTGTGGGGCAGAGGCACCGAGTCTGCTCCGTGCCTTCCTCGGTCGCAGGCCCTGGCTGTTGCGGGGGAGCCTCTTTGTGGGGAGAGGACTCCGTGAGGAACAGGCCCGCGCCACTGCCGGGCACCGGCTGCCCGGATCCCTGTTCAGTTCTCTCAGCAGTGCTCGTCCAATGCCCCTGCTCCTCCGAGTGCTCGTCCAATGCCGTGCACGCCCTGCTCCTCCAGCCTCGTGTGGGGCTGTAGATGACAGAGCGCGCAGCGCTGTCCTGGCCTCGGTTGAGTGTCTGGTTGGCGGTATGGAGTATATACCCAAGGCGCAGAAAGAAATGGTGGCTGTGGTCGCGCCAAGAGCTGACCATCTGGGGTCTTGGCCACCTCTGCCCAGTCCCTGCCACGAACCCCTGGGCTCCGTGGGCCCCCCTGCGCTGTGGTTTGGAGGGATGGGGTTTGGGAGTCTTCCTCCTGAACAAGACGCGAAGGGCCAGTGAGAGACGTTGCACGGCGCTTGTGGAGCAGGGCCCGTCCCAGCTGCGTGCGG